AAAAAACAAAGCAAGTTGTCTAAATGATTTTGTTTCTAAAAGTGACTAATCGCTCAGTCTTGCTGTGATTTTTGCAAACAGAACAACTCCATACTCTGTGTACAGCCCAGAGACATATGAAGGACACTGGAAGCAGCTGACTGTACGTACTACGAGGACCAAACATGCCATGGCCATGGTGTTCTTCAACCCACAGGTGATGAAATGTTGAAACTGAACTAGCGCCCCGTGCTCTTAAAGGTCTCCCTTTAGATTTGCTTCATTTGTTTAATGACTCTTAGAAACTTGAAGAAGAGGAACTTGGTGCTTTAAAGAACTCCATGAAGGAGTACTTCACAGAAGGAGAGGGGAAAGACAGCGGCGTGACCTCTCTGTACTTTGTTAGAGAGGGCCAAAGGTAAAACTAAACTACATGCTCAGTAAGTCATAATCTGACTGAATGTCATCTTAATAATACTCTGACTATTTACGTAACTTCTTGTATTTTTTTTTGCCTGTTAAGGAAATCTCCAAACCCAGAGGATCTCCCCTGTGAGCTGGTGGCTGGAGAGACCTGCATTCAAGAAGAAATGCTTGGTTTGAAATTCAGGATTTCTCCACATTCATTCTTCCAGGTGAGGAAGAGCAGAAGCTGCATGTTGTGGAAGTTATGAGGTCTGGTTTGCAACTAGAATATTTCAGGATTTCTTTCTGTGAGGATGAGTGAACACATGTTATCGCAGGCATGGTAATCCTTTTCTGAAGTTCTGATCTCACCATGTTATCCTTCTGCAGATGGGGTGAAATGGTACTCTGTGCTGTAAACAAGCAGCAAGGCCAGGGGTGGGCAACTCCTGGCCTCGAGGGCCGGTGTCCTGCAGGTTTTAGATTTGTCCTTGATCCAGCTGATTCAAATGGCTAAATTACCTCCACAACATGTCTTGTAGTTCTCCAGAGGCCTGGTAATGAACTAATCATTTGATTCAGGTGTGTTGACCCAGGGTGAGATCTAAAACCTGCAGGAGAAAGGCCCTCGTGGCCTGGAGATCCCCACCACATAGCTAGGCTCTTCTAAGGCTCATCACAGAGCCTAACAAACAGAAGTAGATCACTGTACTTCACCATGCTTTACCTTTTTTGCAGGCATTCCTAAAATGTGGAAACCTCTCCAAATACAGGGCTTAACTCAAAAATATCCCACAAGGCTGGAGTGACTGTGAATTTAATACATTCATCTTGTTTGTTTTGTTATTAATCTGTGGTTTGGACACTCGGGTATGGTAGACGATGGTCCCAGTTGTGTTTGCCAGCTCTAACATCAGGTGCTCAGCCTCCATTAACAATCTGTTTCTGTGTGCTAGGTGAATACAGGAGCTGCAGAGGTGCTGTACTCTGCTGTGGGGGAATTGGCCCAGCTGGATCAGGACAGCATAGTGCTGGATGTGTGCTGCGGGACAGGAACCATTGGCATCTCTTTGGCTAAGGTAATGGGGTTTTTTGTCAATGTATAGGTGTTGTGTGCATTTTCTCATAAGTCATGAAGCAGGACAAATGCACACTGACTCGGTTTCATGTTGCCTTTTTTTGCCACCCACTTTTATATCTAGAGGGTGAAAAAGGTGATAGGGATTGAGATGTGCCAGGAAGCAGTGGAGGACGCCAAAGTTAATGCAAAGCTGAATGGTAGGCATCACGAACATCATCACTTTTATCTTTTTGTAGCATTTAGTTTGGGTAAAGCACATAAGTTGTGGTATCGATGTGATTAACTTTAGTAATTGTATGCATGCTGCATCCCTCCCTTATTTTTTTGTGTTTTTAAGGTCTCAGTAATGTTGAGTTTCACTGTGGAAAAGCTGAGGATGTGTTCCCCAACATCCTCAATGCTGTCGTTTCATCCAGCGTGACTGCTATCGTAGATCCACCACGAGCAGGCCTACGTGAGTGCACCTTATGATCAAAAGATCTACTCAGGTTAAGGTGGTTGTAGTAAGAGATAATTATTTTTTCTTTGTTTGTTTTGTTTCCTTAGACTCAAAGGTGATACTCGCAATCAGGAGAGCAGAGCATTTAAAGAGGCTGCTTTATGTGTCATGTAATGCCAAGGCAGCAATGACCAACTTCATTGAGTAAGTGAATTTTGTAGTAGAAAATAAGCCAAAATAATAATAATTAAAATGTGACTCCAACTGTGGAATTGTTTTTTCCTTCAGTCTGTGCAGAGCTCCATCAAACAGAGTTCATGGAGCCCCATTCCGTCCAGTGCGATCCATAGCCGTGGATCTGTTCCCTCAAACCATGCATGTTGAGATGATTCTGCTGCTGGAGAGAGTGGACTACAGCGAAGACTCAGTTTTATAGCTGGAGAAGTGGGTCTGTGCAGTTTGATTGGCAAATTGGGCTTCCTACTCTAGAAATGTATCCACACAGTACTCTGAAGAATTAACATTCTTTGTCATTTACATATTTGTAAAGCCAAAAAGTAACAAGTTAAATCCCAGTTTTCACTGTAGTGTCTTTTTGCATTAACCTTTGTTAGCTTTGACCTAAAGTTTAATTTTCAAACTAATACTGTGTTTTCTGTTATTCCAAACAGTATTGCTAAAAGCTTAACCAATAAATTACCACCTTAGCTAACTTCCCCCTTTTTAGTTTCGATCCTTCAATCACTGAATAAACAGAAGCTCTTGTAGCCATTAGTCAAGACATTTTTATTTTGCATAACAAATATCACCAAAGTCATGGAGCTCAGGTTGCAATACATACTTCATAATCTAGGCAGCAACACTTCAAACAAGTCATTGGTACAACTTAACAGCAACGCATGAAAGCAGTATCCCCCCCCTCCCCTGACACTTATGGGCTTTGCATGAAAACACATACACAAAGGGAAAGCACATTCGTAAAGTGATCTGTACTATCACAGGAGCCTTGGGTAAACCGATGTGTGCTCTTGTAGAAAAACCACGGGGCCAATACTTGAGTGCACAGCAGTTTCCATTTTGTTCCAGCAAGTGACGGGTCTATGCATTTTCCTGTTAGTCCATATTCTCTTCAGTTCACAGCAACATTGAGTTTTCTATAAAATGCATAAGACTATAAGCTTTGGTATACACAGTTTCATCAGCTTGTTGGACTGAATGACTTTATCGCTGTTGTTTACATCAGTGCCAACTAAATTTTACAAGGCTGCCTTGAAAGTAAAACTATTTGTGGCAAACGTACACAAAATGCAGCCCACTCAGGTGAATTCTACAAATCTGGATGAGTTGTAGGCATATTGAGACGTTTCTTGGCCATTTTTAACTGAAAACTATCTTAACAAATTCTTTATCAAGTAAATAGAGATTGGTCTTTCCACTTCCTGCTGAAGGGTGTTTTAGGTCCAATGTACAATATATACTCTTGAGCCCTTCATGAAATGGATTAACTAAGGCAACATGTAACCAACATGATTCTTTTTTAAAATAAGAATATAAATGAAAAGCAACTGAAATGTGCTTTGTGGTTAGCAACTGTGCATGGCATCAGCATATGAAGAAAAATCCAAGTACGAACTAAGCGCATGAGTGAAATGATCCCCAACATATTACAGTACTGTGTCCATGTGGTTGGGGTATACTGCAGTGTCACCATGTAGCAGGAAGCTTATAGAACCTGACCTTCATCAGCTTAGGCCTAATGTCAGATATTTGTATGGGCACATGTGCGTGCCCTTTTATACTAAAGATCATTTAGAAGTAGTAGCTTGGTATCATTCAGAGATGGTGTCACAGTTTTTTTCCAAACAGTACCTCCAGCTTCACAGCTGGGTTAGTAGTCGGTGAAATTCATTACTTATAATTAAATGAAGGAGTCCCTTTTTAATACAGTCGTATTTATTTGTTAAGAATATCGACTGACAGAAAACAATCTGTACTGGTATCAGCGATGAAGACATCAGGTGGGCTCTAGCTTATGTCTTTTACTGAAACAAATGAAAAAGGCAAGACCCTCAAGAAAAAGTCAGCCCAAATATTCCACTAGGAATTATTCCAGGAATAAAAGCAACAGTCAACAAAAACATCTGACAGGACACGAGTGTGTAACAACAGTGAGCACTTCACACCGCATGTTGCCAACGTGCAAACCAAAGACAGCATCTGTCACTTCTGGGGACAAACAAGACCGCACACAGCTGTAATCATCACTCACCACATCCAGAACACCTACCATTAAAATACCAAATAAAATAGGAACTTTGCTTCCCAATTAAATGAACGGTATAAATACAAGTATTAGTAGTCCCTTTCAAATACTTTTAGCACAGAGAAAACTATCAGCTGCTGGTACTATGCGATCATGACTGGTGAAAACAAGCCTTCAAAAATAAAACCAGTGTGTGCAGTGGCTTTCTCCACTTTAAGAGGCATGCAAATCTATTTTGATGTGGTTCATCTTATCAAGTAATGGTCACTTCTCTGGACACTGGGGGGAGGGGGGTTCTCCTACTGCTGTAATTAGGATGCATCTAGAGAGGTAGACGATATTCGCTCTACAGTCTGTTCAGTCCTACACTTCTACCAGCTCAACCAATTAAAACACAAGTGAAGGAAGCAAGCAGTAATATCAGCCTGGTCAATCCTTTACTATATTGCCATTTAGATCTCAGTGATGCATAATTAAGTGGTGGATGGTGGGGTGTGCGTGTGTGTGATGTCTGACAGTGACTGGTTTTCAGTGCTGTGGTTCATCAGTGATTTGAGATTTAAACGTCGACAGTGCAGAGGGGTTCGCTCCCCGGCTGGGCAGATTCCATTATGGTCATCTTGGGTTTCTTCCTCGTTTCCTCCTGGTAGAGAAAATCATTTAAGTACAACAAGCAAGATAAGAAAAACAATTATTCTCAAGTACAAGATTTTGGGTAGTGTACATGCAGTCTGGCCAACCAAAGACTGGAAGTTACACTCCTTTGTTTTGTCTTTTTTATTTACAAAAAAATAAAATAAAATAAAGCTAAACATTACCCCCCACCCCCCCTTTTTTTTCAAACTAAAATCCCATTAAGAACCATTCCTACCCTCTGTGCAGCCAGTTTAATCATCTCTTCTTGCAGTTTGTTCAAGATATGAAGGTTTGGCTTGTTCTTTTTGGCATACTGCTGGAGCTCGATCACGCTCTTGTCGGAGCTCTCCTGAGAAGTAAGATCATTTTGTAACGACATAGCACAGGCCACATGACACTTCATGATAACACGCTATTCAGCTCATCAACACATAGCTGTACCATTCCAATATGTGCAGAAAATTGGTTCAATTCTACATCCCAGTCATTGGTTTAAAACCCAAAATCAATGACG